GTGGAGATTTCTCTCTTCACCCATCACGACTCAATTAGCATTGCTTTGTCAAATTCATCTCTCTAACGCCTCTCCTGCTATTACTTTCGTTTATCACCGTCTGCAACTTGAAGTTTCTGCCGAAAAGCTCATCAGCAATTCATCAGAAATTCGCGACGACACTAGCTTATAAGAAGACATTTATTCCTCAAGAGCAGTGCGGCACCGGAGCTTCAGAAGCGGAAACTTGAAAATCTCAAGAGATGTCTTAGGAACGATGTCTTCGGGGCTGTTGGAGTTGTTGCAACCGGAGTATTTCATACGTATTGGCGTGGCATTGACAATATTTAAAAGTAGCGCATAACTTAGATTGACGAGGTTCTGAAAGATTCTTATAGTATTCTTGGTTCAAACTACACATTGTAATGTATCATAGTATTTCTGCTTCCTTTTTAGCATATATTATTCAAAGAACCGTAAATAAGGAGGCAGGTGCTGTAGGTGCTGTAAATGCTGCGAGGTGGTTACTCTTGGGGGACTTATGTAAATGTCTAGCGTACCTGGGGTTAGGCGAGCGTTTTAGGATGGTCAGCATTAGAATGTAGGTACTTGGAAGGGTTGAGAGATGCAGACCCTTTATGCGCTTAAGTCACATTCATCTCCAGCAACAAACCCGCAGTTCGGCTGTGGCAAAGAAGCCAGCTATAAAAATCTCGATAGTACGACTGCTAAGAAAAGCAATAAGTCAGCCTGACCATTCATCTAGAAAGATGCCCGAGTTTCTCATCAGCACGAGGCACATTTCTTGGAGGTTGTGCGAACATCAACATACTGACAGGATGGCTTCGCTTTTCTTCGACTGCTCGAACTAACAGTTGTACAAGGGAAGTACAGACTAGCAATGCAGTTTCGCAGATCCTTCAGCTGCCCCTTGAGTTCTGCTGCCAGAGCTAAGGCATCGAGAGCTTGGAGTTCATTGGCTCAAAGTAACTGTTGGACTCGAGGTTGGATCAAGCTTCGCATTTTCATGATGGGGGTGGGGCCGCAGATTTGGACCCCCTCACTCCAGGACAACCTGAAAGTACTCGACAACCAACAAATATACAGGCGCTGACCACTTGAAGCAGCTCAGCCGTGAGAAGGCTTAAGGGATATAGTGTGCACGCGACACTCTTCTCGCACTGCTGGGATAGTGAGCATGTATTGTTTGACTGGTTATGTGGCTAAGATGGTACATAACAAGCTATCAGGGCTCTCGAGGCATAATTAAAGTATGAGATATGGTTTAGCGCAGCTTTTCTATCCGGCGGATATGTTTCCTGAGCTCTTCCTCCGTCTGTTCTCTGAAGTGGGCATAGAAGCCAAGAAATTCCCCAACACTATTGTAAACATCGCTGCACCAGTCTTCGTCATGGAGGCCGTACCTCCATTTCCACTCATCGTTGTCCTCTTTGCGGCAGTAGAGGGCCCAAGAGCCACCCCAACCGCGAGGTCCGCCGCCAAGCTTGAATGCAACGATGATCTCCCAGTCTTCCCAGATAAACGTGAGATTATTGTAATCTTCGCCACCGTCTCGAATAGGCACCTCGACAGCCGCCATCATCTCCTCCAGATTTTCATCTTCGATAGGAGTTATAAAGTCAAACTGCCGTACTTCGCGGTGGAACGGTAGTCCCGGGCCTGTCAAACCAGTGATGAGTGTGCAAAGGTAATCTAAGTCTGCGGGAGGAAACTCCGCCACCTCAACGTTCAAGGCTTCAATATGCGCGCGGATGCCAGCGAAATATCGTTCCCTTAGCGCCAAGTTGACTGGATAATGAGACACTCCGTCGAGGCGGGCGGGCTCGATTAAGGAGAAACGAAAATCGTCGTTGAGGACAGCTCGCGGCGACTTGATAGATTTGGAAATCCCCTGCAAGTGCCGCCCGATTTCTCGCACACGTAGGAAGTCTGCATTTTCTTCTGGAAGGCCCGGCGGAGTGGGCTCTGCCTCCACGCCTTCTACTAGTTTGTGCAGCAAGAAGAGGCTATGCTGTAAAACCGTTTCTCGATATTGCTGTAACACTGCTTCGATCTGGGTGCGTCGCTCTTGATCCATGCTTTCTCAGGCTCCTAGCTCACAGCCTCGGATGTAATCATAATTCCAATGACTGAACTTATCAAGGCAGTACAACAGACCTGATGAAGAGAGTGGGGGGCAATAAGGAGATATGGCGCTGCCTTAGGCTGCCATGTTGGTAAAACAGAAGGGTTGTTATTGGATCGAATATTGATAGCCTGGATGGTCCGAGGCTCCTTATCTGCATGTCCTATAGTGAGTCAATGCTAAGATCCTAGTCTGCAGGAGCACCATCCAGAAGATGCAACCTCTTCAAGCATCGTTACTGCCTTTCCTGTAGATTATTACCTCTATAAATGTTTTCGTCTAGTGACTTGATGGCTACGAGGAAAGTTGCTGTTTGGGATCGCATATTCGGCATTTTGAATAGCACTTTCATATGTTAGCACGGAATAAAAGCATTTGGTGATATCCTTTCTGATGATGGAACTCTTGATAGTTGCTAACGCCAAATTTCAAGATTTTTGCAAGTATGCACGTCTGGTCGGGTGTTGTCGCGCAAGGATGCGATTTCATGTTCATCTGGGCGCTGCGGAAGACGGATATAACAAATTCTGTGGGTCGCTAAAAGTGGCGTCAAGTGGTTGGTATTGCAGCATTTCGTGGGTAGAGCCAGATTGAGTCAAACGCTATAGACCAATTTGTGCTACTCCTTCTTCTTGCATCATAGCTTGCGGCATCCTCTTCATGGTCGGTATATATGGCTGCGACGACAAAGGCGAAACCATAGAGCCAGGAACTACATGCTACAAAGTGACTACCGCAGCGGCAATATCGGAATGGATTATGGCAATTGCTTTTGTGACTTATCTTGTTGCCCTCGGCTATAGCAGCTACCATGGAGATGCCATTAGGGAACAATAATACTTGATAGTGGATGATGACCCCATAAAGTTGTTAGCTGATTAGCAGTTATTGAAGCACCATGATTCTAGGCAACATACTCGGAAACAGTCCTGGAGAAACGTGTATCAGACTGCTAGGAAAACTATTCAAAGGACTCATAACAAAATCTTTGGTGTCAATCTATCAGAATTTGGTGGTGGTGTTGCAGAAAAGTCTTGGTGCAGTGAGGGTAGAGCATTTGCCGCAAGATGTGTGCGAATGAACTTCAACATATCACCAATAACTCCCAGTTCACAATACATTGTCACATGGTATTTGATTCAAAATACCCACTCTAATGGCATACAACTAATGGCCATGAGGCTGGCGCACCCCGCAATAATAATTTATGAGCAAGCTTGGCATTATCAACTGCCACTCTGCTGTGACCGGAAAACCGCCACAGGGGACGGATAATCTAGAAGCATAGCTAGGCAAGGTAAAATTGCTTGGCGTTCAACCGGCATTTCCACCAAACTTCAACACTGGTATGTGGGAAAAATTGTCTATAAAGGAGCGAAAGACGTTCGGAACGAGCCACTAAATAGCTTTTCTGTCACTGCGTTATCTTTCTATCTTATTTGCAATGAAGCTATTGTTATTCCTGTCCACGTCTGTGGCTTTAGCCGACGCACATTATATCTTCGATATTCTGTTTGTCAACGGAAAGAAAATTGGAGGGGAGTACGACTACGTCCGCCGCAACAGTAATTCATACAATCCAGCGTTTCCCGATATTATTGACACGCCCGACCTGAGATGCAACAAGGGAGCCAAACCTGGCAGTACCAAAACCTATGAGGTCAACGCTGGTGACAAAATAGGCTTCAAACTCTTTAACAACGAATTCATAGAACATCCAGGTCCAGGCTTTGTTTACATGTCCAAGGCACCTGACTCGGTGGCGACCTACGACGGCTCTGGCGATTGGTTCAAAGTGTATGAAACTGGGCTCTGCGGTAATAACCCCGGAAACGATGGTAACTGGTGTTCCTATCAAAAAGATCGCCTAGAGTTTACCATTCCACTCAAGACTCCACCTGGGGAATATTTGGTTCGTGTTGAGCATATTGGACTCCACGAAGCGTTCAAAGATAGGGCGCAGTTCTATATTGAATGCGCTCAGTTGAAAGTCAATGGGCCAGGAGGTGGTACTCCTGCTCCACTGGCTAAAATTCCGGGTATCTATAAGGCTTCTGATCCTGGAATCAAATACGACAAGTGGGCGAGACAACCAGCGACTTACGTTATGCCGGGCCCCGCTGTTTGGGATGGAAACTAGGGGATAGCTGTTTAGGTATCACGTAGTTATCAGCATTCACCAACCCTCTAGCCCAATGTACCAATATAGTTCCTGCTATTCGAGTCTAGAAGGGTCTTAATAACATCACTGGCGTACCTAGCACAATCGTTGGTACATAAAATGCTGTTCTGTGATCGTGTAGTGCCTTCAAATATTTGAGGTATTCCAATATTTTTATTTGCAATTCTTCCAGAGAACCGGATAGAGCAGCCACAATCTCAATGTGACCCCTCAAACAGGCAGAAACAATTGTATCTTCTCTCTTAGGTTACCATATTTGAAAATTGAAAAGTTCTTCTTTCACAATCAGGTCTAATTCGATGTTGGAGGCGATGATGCGGTCGCATCAGAGGCGGCCATGAAGGCCAAGTTCTCAGCTAGCTCACTATCAAGATCAAACGAATAAGCAGAGGGCTAGTGTTAGTGCACTATGCAAGGCATCCTGGCGACCCATTTATTGTGCGCGCACTGCCTCGCCCGCTGGGCAATGAGCGGGATTGACTGCTGCCTGCCTCTCCCTCTCCCTCCGCAGCTGCTCACGAGAAGTCGGTTGCCGCCCACCTCCGGAGAAAAGCGAGAGGCCCGTTGAGTACCCTAGCTACCGGTCAACTGTTAAATATCGCCCAGTTCTCAGCGACTTCGTTCTATGTTTCCTCGGGGAACATCAAATTTGTCTGTTTCTTAAATACACTGAGAGTGTCTTAAGGTTTCGCCATGCCAGCGCCCGCTAGGCGTTCGAGGCGCGCCGGCCCGCCCGTCCAACCAGCTCCCGTGGCGGCGGTCCCCAAGCCCAAGGAGGGCAAGTATCTCGACAAATGGGGTGTCTTTGACAGCACTGGCACCAGCACATATGGTCTCGGTCCACTTTTGAATTACAATGTCGAGGAGAACAGCGGTGATGCGGGCTTCATGAATATTGGCCCCTCTCGTCGCCTCTCTACTGATCCCATCAGCTTCGATCCAATGGCCGCCGGGAACTGGACAAAGCAGTATCCGACTCCAAGCATTGAGATCTCAGACTTTTCCAATGCTGCTCCTCCTAACAGCGCCCACCATGCATTCACAACTGGCGAGGAAAGCTCTTCATTGCCAACGATCTACTCGGCCAGCAGCTCAGCATCATCCGTAGTGTCTGGAACCGGCACCAACAGGTCAACCTTCTCGCCATTGCTCTCAGACGGTGCATCGTCTATGGATGCGCCAACAATTGTGCCCTCCAATTGGTCGCGTGGGCCAAGTCCTCTCAGTGTCCCTGCTGCTGGGCCGCCGCGAGTGTGCGAGCAAGAGGCATACCTGTGTCTGGCACCTCAATGCAGCGCCCGATTTCATAGCCATGATCGCCTCGAGCAGCACATCAAGACAGCTCATAGCCATGTATGCAACTGGGCAGGCTGCAAGTCTCCCAGCTATGCAACCCGCGATGGCTTGTCTTGGCACGTCAAGGCGGACCACTTGCTGATCTGCCCGGTGCCTGGCTGCGATATGACAGCCTTCCCTAATTCAAATGTCATTGGCATCCACGTCAAGTCAGCACATCCAAGCGCCGTCGGCGAACTGGAGGCAGCGTCAAAACAGGCGGCTCAGGCGAACAACCTGCCACAAGCAACTCCTTTGCTTCCGGCCAACGGTTGCTTGTCTTCTTTATCTACCGGCTCATCACAGGCTGGCCTCGCAAACCCTCCGAAACTGAACACCGCCGAGGAGAAAGCTAAGATGATGAATCTCTCCATCACAAGATCCAAAGAACGATGCAGGAGACAGCTCCGCGAGGTCCTGGAACGGCGCATGAAGCGCATGAACAGACAGCAGCCGTCGTCTCAATTCTTCGGGTCCTCACCCCGATCCATCGAAAGCCCACCGGGCCTTGTACGTAGTCGCACCCCCAAGCTGGTCGAGCAAGCCAGTTTTCCCCTTATATGGGAGCATGGTGTCCTTCCATTTCTTATTGAGTTCGTTCCTAAATGGTGCGGCCCCGGACATGTCATCAGCGTGACGCGAGGCAAGACAACCAACGCGAGACGTATCTGTATTATGACGAGGAAGAAGGTCTCGCGGGCGCGGAAGATCGCCATCGCTGCTCATGTGCGCGACTTGCTGCCGACAAATCATCGACAGACCGTCTGCTTCACCTTTGCAACTGGTGAGGTTGATAGACTGGTTTGGGCTCGAGGCTTGAGCAGAGAGATGCCAGATGACTTGTGCCAGCCTCGTAACCCATTTTACTACGTTTCTCCATGCATGGGTGATAGCATCGGCACTGTTGTTAGCGAGGAGGAGGGAGAGAGCACGTCCACTTTGGGGCCATGTATTCTGATGGGCGGCGAGAGCTATTGGCTTGCCAATTTCCACCCCTTTATCAAGTCACAACAGCTTCGAGACCTTGTGACCATCGAGCATCCCTCCCCTAAAGACCGCTCACGATGTGTCGACGAAGGGCACGACTCACTCTCGGGTCCAGACTCCGACTTCCGGCTCGGCACCCTCACTGCCACCTGTGGTCTCGACCTCAAGACGACTCGCCTGTCGCACGATCCTTACTGGGAAGACATGGACAAGGAGCCGCCTCTCATCGTGACGGACTGGACAATCATCACCTCCCACACCCGCCAAGCAAATATGCTCCGCAAGTTTCCCAGCACCTCACCGCGCATGTCAAAAGAAGTTCCCGTCACATCCACCACCACCGTCCAGCCCGGCAGTGTTGTCCAATCCACAGGCCGTACATCAGGGCACCAGCGCGGACAGATCTGCGAGATCCCTGCCTACGTCTCTGGCGATAACTTCGGTAATGGCAGCGGCCGCGCTACGCGCGAGTGGTTCATTGAGGAGCCGGAGCCCTACGACAACGAAGAGGGCTGGATCCGCGGCGGGATCGGTGTAGAGGGAGACAGTGGTGCGGCAATCGTCGACGCCGTGACGAACGGACTAGTTGGGACGCTATGGGGCCGTAACAAATATTTTGGGTCGGGACCGAGACATACCTTCTTCACGCCCATCAGCGACATTTTTGATGACATCCAAGAGAAATGTGGCGAGCAGACGCGGCCTCAGCTGCCGCAGTGGCGGGACGAAGGCGAGCGGTACGCAGTGTATCCCGCGTGCAGGCCGTGCTTTGACCTGCGGACCTACCTTGATTCGAGGCGGAGTTCGCGGGAGTCGCTGCGGTCTATCATCGGCCGGCATGACAGTGACGGCATGGGACACGGCGACGACGCGCAGGACCTGATCTCCCTGGAGGGGATCTCGGAGCTGGCGACGCCAAAGGACCAGAACTACTGGCTTCGACACACTGGTGCCGAGGAGGCAGGCATGTCGTTCATGAACTTTGTCTCACCTCGTCCGATCACCTCTTTCGCGTTCGACTCGCGGGCAGCTTCACCAGGTGTGGCAGATATGAGGAGTCCATATGCGGTGGATATCAGCACCGAGGATCTATATGATGCTGAGTACGCGCCACCTACAGCGACGAACGCCAAACGGCCTGCTCTACCACTTCCGGCTCCAAGTCTCATGAGGAGCTCCAGCTCTGGAGGGAGCAAGAGGCAGCGGACTCAATGAATAGTCGGAACTCTAGCCGGGAAACCCTCCTCGAGCCATCTTCTTGGCTCTCTGATCCCGGCGGTTGTGATTCGCTCTCGACCCCTTATTCGCCTCTTTCCTTCGTCTGGCTTGCTCTGTTCCCTGTTCTCCCGGAGGACCTGCTGCATCACCGCGTCCTCCACGTCCACCTCTCCCACGACCGCGCCCGCGACCCCCTCGGAAGGCAGGCCTTCCACCATCTACATCAGACTCCTCGGCGCCCGACCCAGCCGGACTGGGCCGCCACGCCGTAGACACAAGCTCGCTCTGCTGGCCCGTAAACGCACCCACCGCGCTGTACTTCAGCTCTAGCTTTCTCTTCTGGTTCGGGTTGCGCGTCAACATCACCGCCCACCCCTCGATCGCCTCGTCGGTCATCCCCGTCTCGTGCCTCAGCTTCGTCCGCGCAACGCTGCGCCGCGTGGCGGCATCTCTCTCAAACACTCTCGTGTCGGTCTGGTACGCCCTGAACAGCGCCTCCTCGTTGCCGTCTTTAGAGTCGGCGGGCTCCTCCGTGTTGGCGGCGTCGACTGTGCCGCCCACGTCTTCCGCGTCGTACGTGTCGTCGCGCTCGTCGTCGTCTGAGTCGAAGGCCGCGAGCGCTGATAGAATCGCGGCTTTGTTGGGTGCCGTTGATCGATCGGCCAGCACGTCGTCTGCGGTCTTTTTAGCATCGCGCTTGCCGATATGTAGCTTCGACGTGCCGAGGGCGAGGGTGTCCAGCTCGTCGTCGTCGAACACGTTCTTTCTAGCAGGTATTTGTGGCGGTGTTGGGTGAGGCGCAAGGTCTGGATGGTGTTTATAATTTGGATCGGATGATCTTTCATAATGTTAGTCACGAGCAAATATGAATGTAATGAATATACACACAATTCCTCACCGCGATCAGCGCCCTGCAGGTGAGGTGGCAGTGAGTCCTCAAGGAGATGCGCAATGACCTGCTCCGAATCGCCATCGTATTCATCCAGTAGTTTGGACACGAAACCCGAGCCGAGTTCAGGAAACAGATCTTGTATTTGCGAGATCTGGCTCATGTGATGTATGTGGACCTCCCCTTCCATGGCGCTGCGGTCATCCAGGGCAAGGGCCTTGCCCTTGTCAACCTTCCGCTTGATGAGTCGCTTCGGCTTCAACCCTACACCAGGCTTCCGGTACGCTGCTAGGTCTTTCAAGACATTCTTAGTTCTTGTAGTCGCAGTGCCCGAGATCTCGAGCTTGTGCTCAATCTGCTGCAGTATCGGTGTAGTGGTAACAAGCTCGGCCACCAGTGAGTCGTTCACATTCAGGGGTCCAGCCTTGTGAGTATCGGCGGCCGTCTTGAGAGAGTAGAGCTGATCAGTCAGCATGGAGAGCTTGGGCGATTCTCCTTCAATCAGCCCAACAAGTGACAGATATGTAGTCGTGATAATGACCTTCCTCAGGGGAGGGTTCATGATTTTATAGCAGCTGATAAGGCCATCGAGAAAGTCACTGCCTGCGAGGAAGAATGACGCAGTGCTTGGTGACGCATGAATAAGTGAATTCAGTTGATCCAGTCGTTGCTCAACTGCTTTCAAGTCTCCGGCAAGACCAGCGTCGAGATTCTTGATGAGAAACTTCTTAAGATCACCAAGGGTATGTTCGAAGGCGGCTTGGGACGACTTGGGCAAACTAGAGAGCACTGCCGCGACACGCTTCTTGCCGTAGACCCTGCTAAAGTCTGCCAGGAATTCCCACTGCGTAAAGATACTGGGAATAGAAGGTAGCTTGAGGATGCGTGCTGTCAACAGGAAACAATCTTTCATAAGGAGCTTGGCTGGGTTGGAGGTGCCGAGGATGGATGAGCCAGATGATGCTACTTGGCGCATGCAATCTGTAAGGAACTGCTGCAGAGACTCGTCTTTCAGACTCTTTTGTGTGAACTCCGAGTCAAGCAGCCCTAAATGAGCCTCAGCGAGAGAAATCCAAGCTCCAAGGCAGGCATTCCACTCATCGAGTGCGATGAGCTCCCGCCACGCGGGGGAGGGGAATGGCGCAAACGAAGGAAGAGACAGGGCCATTTCTGAACGCTCGTATGAAGTTCTGGATGCTTGAAAATGTGCCAAGATACCGAGAAATCACTACGAATAGCCGTGCTAGTTGGCGCCTTGAAAGTGCAAAGAATACAAGTGGGAGAAGAGAAAACGGCACCTCGTTTATGTTTAAACAAACAGCTGGCCCATGGTGATATTGCGGCTGCTGAGAGCTTCGTTTTAGCTTCCATTTTCAGGCGTCATTCAGTGGCTTCACGCCGGTTGAGTCAGCAATTCAAGATGCAGAGCTCACCAGCCAATCAGCACTCCTTATTTAGATAGACTTGTCTACATCCCCCACCAGCCCAATCTAGGACTAGTGCGGGACACCGCAAACCCTGGCAGAAAAAGTTCACCGCACAAAACTACGAATTGCTTCAGAAAGGTACAATTCTTACAATCTACAACCACCAAACCACGCCCTTCATCACTTTGCCGTAACGTACCACGTTCGAGTCGTGAAGGACTAATTCTCCCTCCCAATCCGCCAAAATGTCTTACAACAAGCCCGAGAAGGATTTCGGCGAGGCGCCGGTATGTTGAAATGTCGCCAGGCAATGGAAGAACTATAGCTGACTGTAATGCCCCCGAACAGAAAACCCACAAGATCCGCATCAGCTTGACCTCCCGCAAGGTCCAGTCCCTCGAGAAGGTCTGCTCCGAGCTGATCGAGCGCGCCAAGTCCAAGGACCTGCGCGTCAAGGGCCCCGTCCGCCTGCCCACCAAGAACCTCAAGATCACCACCCGCAAGACCCCTTGCGGTGAGGGTTCCAAGACCTGGGACTGCTACGAGATGCGCATCCACAAGCGTCTCATCGAGTATGTGCTCTCCCTCCTTCTCAGCGGCCTCCCCTGGGGATGCGCGACAGAACGACGGATGGATAGTGTTGCTAACAATTTACCTTCCACAGCCTCAACGCCCCCACCGAGATCGTCAAGCAGATCATCATCAACATCGAGGCCGGTGTCGAGGTCGAGGTCACCATCGCCACCTAAGCGAGTGATTGATTGAGGGAGGGCTGCATGCATGGCCGCGCAGTTGTGGCTAGTTTTTGAAAAGGTCACATGGCAATGTTGTGTTCCTGCCTTTAACTAGAGCAGTGGACGCATTGTGGTCAATCATTAGCGATGCAGGAATAAAGGAAACCGGGTTACAAAACAGACAGTCTTGCTGCTGTGCATTTGTCGTGATATGCTTCGTGACCTGCCCCTTTTCATGGGTATAATAGCCTTATATACAAGACTGACCGTCCAGAAACGCCCATTCTCATTCTCCTTGGCCCCTTAATTGCCATTGGTCGTACCAGTCAATGCTCATCTCGAGCCTTCAAATGTCGCAAGTGCCTTAGCCTTAGCCATGTTGTAAATGCCAAATTCCTATACAAGAACCTGCGTGTCCTCATCCTTCGTATCATACTATACTCGCCTCGATCCAACAACCACTCTTTCGTGCGCTCGTCAATCCTTCAACTCAGAAGTCCCAAGTGCAGTGTTCCCTCAGCGGCGGCATCTCTGGCATATTGCCCAGCTCGAGCCTACCCGTCTCCATGAACTTCTTCCACGCGCCTTGTTCCCGCACTGTGTAGTGCATGTTGGCGGATAGCGGCTCCGTGTCCTTATAATACGTAGGCGGGCCATCCGGGAACCATATGCGCGTGAATGAGCCGTCGAAGTTCTGCACGCCCGGCTGTGGCCTGCCTTCGATCTGCTTGTATCCCACCGGCTTGCCCTTCCACGTCTGGAGGCGGCCGTCGGGCCCGCGGGTCGAGTAGCTTGATAGGGGTGGGTGTTGGCGCGACGCGTCTGGGGCATAGGGGTTCTGGCTCGCTGGGGCTGAAGAGGTCGCCGCGTTGTTGGTCTGTCCACCGAAGCCGCCAAAGCCTGTGTTCGAAGTTGGTTGACCAAAGCCAGATGATGTCTGAACTTGAGCAAATGGGTTGGATGGAGCCGGAGTAGCAGCTGGAGCACCGAACCCAGTGGACGCGGGTGGCGCGCTATTAACGTCCATCGCGTCTTCCTTTGGTGCGGCAGGCGCCCCGAATGGCGATGACTGTTGCTGCTGCGCTTGACCGAAGGGGTTTGTCGGTGCAGTGGCAGCAGCCTGGCCAAAGGGACTGGGGGAGGATGTTGCTTGCTGTTGAGCAAAGGGGTTCGCAGCTGGGGTGTTTGAGCCTCCCATAGCGGTCGCAAAGGGGCTAGGAGTTGCTGTAGCAGACGCGCCTCCGAATGGGCTGGGCTTCTGGCCCAGAGCAGAGGGCTGGCCAAACCCACTGGTTGGCTGAGCAGCTTGTCCGAAGGGGCTTGATGTTGCTTGTTGCGATGGTTGCCCAAACGCTGAATTCTGGCCTAGAGAAGACGTCTGGCCGAACGCACTGCCTCCACCGCCGCCAAACGGATTTGGTTTCTGACCAAGAGCAGAGGTCTGCCCGAATGCAGAGTTCTGGCCCATGGCAGATGGTTGACCGAACGCGGATCCTCCACCCATTTGTGATGGTTGTCCGAATGCACTTGTTGGGTGACCGCCGAGGCCGGATGGCTGTCCGAAGGCGCTCGTGTTTCCCACAGCTCCAAAGGGGTTAGTTTTCTGGCCAAGTGCAGATGTCTGTCCAAACGCGCCGGTTGCAGGTGCAGAAGTGGGAGGCTTGAGGAAAGGGTTTGAGGCCTGCTGAGAGCCAGTAGAGAAGGCGCCGGTTGTGCCTCCGGCTTGAGAGTTGTTCTTGCATTCGTCGATGCGATTGGGATGCTTTTCCCCGGCCGCTATGATGTACTCGATTGCTCCGTCGAGGTTGTTCAGTGCACCTTGGTTCTGCTGCTGTGCGGTGTTGTACAGGGCTTCGATCTCTTGGAGCTATCTACCGTTAGCCTTTCTGCGACGGCATGAGATGAAACCAGGAGTATACATACTGCGCCCCTCTCATTGCCTGCAGCTCTTCCCATCTCATAATGCAGTCTAACCTCCTCGAAGCTCTGCTCGCGAGGGTATCCGCCAAATAGCTGCCCGGGCGCATTCCTGCCCGGCGCATACGATGATAGGATCCATAGCGGCTTGTCTTCCGTCAAGTCTTTTCGTAGCACGTCTTTATCGAGGCTATACGGGAGTTCAGAGTGGACTGGACAGGGTCAATTGGTCTCGCTCGAAGCGGGTTGTTCGCCAGCCATGCTGCTCACATTTGTAGTTGTTGCGGTTTGTATTGCCGCCACCTGCTCCTCCACTGCCAGAGCCACCGGCGGCCCCTAGGGCAGAAAAAGGATTCTGATTTCGAGGAGGGACATGTTCGAAACGACAGTTGCCTATGATCATCATCGCCATCTTGTCAGCCGGTCTGCAGCCAATTGACGATTGCTGAGTTGTAGATACGGTAGAAGAGAGTATGGAAGCAGTGGGACAAAGAAGAGAATCCAATTGCAAGTGAATTGTACAAGAGAATAGTGTCGGTAGAAGGACAGAAACGGCGTGTGGTTGGCATACTTCCAAACTTGCAGTTGCCCTGCTGCCAGTACCGGCAGACTGGCCGTGACATTGTGCGCCGGATTAATCGGAGGGGAGGAGAACAATAGGGTAGCCAGCTAGCTTATTGAGGTTTGATAGCGTCTATTGTTATCAGCATTGTGAACCAGCAGAGTTGTGTGTGGCGCTATTGTGCGTATTGTTCTTGTTTTTGGTGTTTTGGAGCCGCAACTGAGCGCAATCTGAGGATGTTGTGATGAATATGAAGCTTCGGCAGCCTCGCGCTCCAGCCTCGCACCTCACCTCAGTTACTAAACAAAGACATGTGGTCCGTGCGCTCAACACCACCACCCACCACCTTATGCCAGTCTCGGCTCCTCTAGACACTCTTCACATTGTCACCTTCCATTATTCTCCGACACGCACATGACACGATGTCATCATATGCGTGACTCCAATCAAACACATCAATGTGTGCAACTTTGGCATTTTGTCATATGTGCAGATTTTGTATTATCTACAGATGCAACGCGATCGTTAAAGCTGAGCACAGAGCAGCTTTTGAGCTCCCGTGATAAGATGTCTTCTACACAACAGCCATTTCAATGCAGCGTCCCGTTGACCATCTGAATCAGCGCCCCATTCACATAACTCGGGCTCCTCCACGCGCTCCAGTCGTGATTCAGCAATCCCCAGCTCTCATCATAATCTTGCGTCCCGCTCCGGATGTAGTAGCTGCCCGCCAGCACCCAGATGAACCAGCCTGCTTTCTGCGCCGGCATGTAGCTAGCGATGCAGCTCGCATACACGCCCTTCCACGTCGTCGCGTCCATCGCGAACCCAAACTCGGTCAGCAGCACTGGGAACTTGTTCACAGCCGAGCTGGTCAGCGCCTGGAATCCGTTGTTGTACAGGTTGCTCTGCAGCGACGAGCATGACGTCGCGCTGTTCTCGTAGTTGTGGATCTCCAGCACCAGCTTGTTGGCGTACCCCGCGAAGTCGCTGAATGAGAACACGCCTGTGCCGGGCGTGAGCGCGGTGCCGCGCACGACGGGTGTGAGGTACGTATCGAAGTTGAGGCCGGACAGGAAGATGAGCACGTCCGCGTTGGTGTCGTGGATGGCTTTTGCGCCTTGCTTGATGTATGTGTACCAGTATTGCCAGTTGTACGTCTGCGAGGAGAGTGTCGAGTTATTGGTCGGCTCGCGCAGCTCGTTGCGCAGGGCCATCGACATCAGATTCGGCCACGCCTTACCCTGTGAGAGCGGTCAACTTGTGTCAAGTAATACTTGTCTATGCAAAGATTGACTTACGTGGTTGGCCATGTACGAAAGACCGCGAGTCCAATTGGCGATGGAGAAGTATGTGTCTCCCGGCCACGAGTTGCCGTCCCCTGAGTTACAGCACCACATGCCCTTGGAGATGTGGTTGTCCAAGTGGACATAGATCTGCTGTTTCGCGCACTCGGCAGCGACGGCATCGAAGACCTTATTGCACGTTAGCTTCCACGTCTGACCATAACCCTCGGGGGCTTCTACAACTAACCTGCAGTCTTGTTGTGCTCGCCGTGAAGCTCGGGTTCTTGGCAAGCAACTGGTTCAAGACCTTTGTTCCATTCGTTGTCCCCAATGCCTTTGTGAACGCTGTCTGGAGCGTGATATCTTTTCCGCCATTGGAGTAGATCTGATCGATCATTTCAATCGCGTAAGTCAAGCGGATGGCATTCATGCCGAGGCTTTTGATTTTAGACACAATTGTCGGGATTGACTGATACTGCAAGCCCTCGGGGATCATGACGTCTGCAGCACCAGGCCAATTGGCACCTGCATACGTGACGTTTGCCCCGGATGCATCGTGAATGTCCCGGCCGGATGTCACAAAGGGACCATTCGGCCAGGCAGCGGCACACTTGGCCGGAGCACCCGAGCACAGGGTTAGGCAGACGAGTGTCAGGAGAGAGTTGACGAGCTTGACCATGGTGATTGACTTGGGCTCACAATGTGGAGATTGCGGTGCCTTGCAGAGCTCATGTACCTGAGAGGAGCATGCTGGCCTTTAATATACTCTGCTATTGTCATTCTGCGGTACGAGAGCTCCGGCGAAGCCTAAGCTTCGGCTGATATGGGGGTACCCGTTTTCGGGACGACGTGAAGTCATGGGATGGAGGTGCGACCCCAGACAAGTTCGTGAGGAGTCGTGTGGAGCAGACGTCTTCTTTTCTTCCTTCAATGAGCATCAGCTTCTCTGTCACCTCCAAGTGAATGGTCTCTTCTCCAATTGACTTCGGTATCGAGTACCGAAGCATTCCCCTGTGGTCGATCGTTCCGTGTAAGTGGCTCGGCTCCGTGATCCCCGGGTGATTCAGAGCAGGACCTGCCAGGGGTTTCCAAGCGCTGATTGGGGGCCGTGGATCTCGAGTCTCTCAAATGCTAGCAGCAAAGCAACACAAGAAACTACCATTGAGCCGAGAAAACTACAGCGTAAAGGGGGCGGCAGCGGGCGAGGTCACCCCGCATTCAGCCAGGGAGATGTGCCGAGAGGGGCAGCTTGTAGCATCTGTCTCCACTGGCTGGATGTAACATCACTCGTATCTGAACTGAGATGGCCCTTTTTCTGGGGTCATTACGATGGGGAACTTCGGGGAAGACACGGTTTAGGAAGCTAAAGATGCACCTTTGGGCCGCTCTGGCTATCTAAGCTTCCCACGATCACGAGCTCCTACTGGAGCGCAAAACACGAAAGCCTCCGCCACAAGAAAACGCCAATTATTCCAACACTTGCAGTGGCACCGATAACCTCAGCTGAGACAAATGTTGTTTGCTCAGGAACCTTCTTGAATGAGTCTTAACTTAGTTGGCGTCTCTTTTCCTGAACTCTACCATCACTCCGTCCTTCAGGCTCGTGAACGTATCCACCAGCTGCATCTCCCCAGGCTTTTCTCTTCCCCACTCCGCGCCGGGCCTGCCCTCCGCCGGGTCCGAGACCCCAACCGCTCTCCGCAGGTCATACATGAATAGCACGCGGGCAAGCGTCGTCGTCATCTCCACGTACGCCAGCCCTTTGCCGATGCAGCCTCGCGGGCCGATCGAGAAGGGGCAGAACGCCGACTGCGCCGCAGCCACGTCCGCCTCCGTCACGGCCTTCTCCGGCGCCGAGGATGTCGCGATCCACCGCTCCGGGATAAAGCTGAATGGGTCCGGGTAGTACGCCGAGTTGTGGTGGATGGCGTAGTGCGGCGTGCCGACCACCATGCCTGCGGGGATGAACTCGCCGTCGATGGTCGTACCGCCGGACAGCACCTCGCGGGGCAGAAGGCCGCCGACGCTGGGGCTGAGACGCATGGCCTCGTCGATGCAGGCCCGCAGGTAGGTGCAGCCCTGCAGAGCGGGGCCTTGGTAAATATCCTCGACAGAGTCAAACTTGCTGCGGACTTCCTCGATGACTTTTGCCAGAGAAGCTGGCGAGCGCACCAAGTAAAACAGGGTAGCGGCCATGGCAGTACTCGTGGTGTCGGAACCGGCGATGATCAATAAGTTAGACTCGCCCCAAAGCTCAGGAGTGCCGAAACCGAGTCCAGTCTCCGGGTCTTTCGCCTTAAGAAGGTGGTAGAAGAAATCTCGGCGGTCAGTATCGTCGCCCAATTTGGTACGCTCTGTCAACTGACCGCGGCTGTATGCCATGTAGCGAGCCCGACCAGCTGCGATCTTGCGGAACAGGATCTTGTCTAACGATAGCTTATTGACAATAGGCATGGTCCCGCACTAAAGGCGAGTTAGTCATTTCTTTTCATACAAGGTAATTCAAATAGGCAAAGGAAGTCATACGATCAAGTGCCGCTGTGCAGCCACGCCCACCAAGTCAATGGCATAGCGGTTGTCCTCCCTCTCCAGCATGTGGAAGGCCTTGCCAAAGCACAAATCACCAAGGATATCCATCGCAAGATAATTACACCAGTCAGCCATGCACTTAGGTGTCGTCCAGCCCTTTTCGCCTGGCATGCCTGCGCCGATTTGATCACAGAAAGTCCGTACGTTGCCGAGGATGTATCGCTCCATCTCCTTGATGGCAGAATCCGAGAATGCCTGGCTCAGCACGCGGCGCTTGCGCGCATGCTGTTCCTTGTCACGCGTATTGTGTGTGTTAGGTATAGGATGCACGAATGCATCGTAGAACTCGGCCTTGCGCACGTTAGATCTGAAGCCGTAGATGTCCTTGAGCGCGGCGGCCGAGTTGAATGAGACATTGTCGGGTCCAAAGCGGACGGTTTTCCCTGTGCGTCCATAAGTCATCCGTCTACACTGGCTTTTGGTGCGTATGCAGCTGGTAATTCGTCTTACCATATCGTTGGTGAAGTCGCCAGAATTCCAAATGCCTGTCACCCCTCCACGAGTGATACAGCATGTAGGCATCCGTGAGCTTAGCCAGGAACGGGCCTGGATACTTCGCCAATGGATGAAAGAAGATGCGGTAGATGATAAGGCATGTTGTCTATCATGGATGTCAGCCATCTCCATCGAACTGAACAACTGGACAATTACGCTCGGCTCACGTAGACGAAGCCTGCCGCGACTAACACGCCGGCCCATATCCAAAGGTGGCTTAGATGGAATGTAGCCATCGTGACTCGTGTGAAGTTGCACTTCTGCCCTGCTCAAAATCGGGTATTTCAAAACGAGATAGTCCTGCTTGAACGAATCCGACAGACCCGGTATGAAATCAGTGAAGCCAACAGGCTTCTTAAAGACCAGCCGGTTATCATTTAGCTTTCATCCTTTGATGCCTACCTGTTCCGGGCCACCCATTCTGAGTGCGCTGTCCAGCATCTCGGCTTGTCGCGGGCCAAGCCACCCTTATCACTACCCCAACTTTTCCCCAAACTTTCAGAGCCGAGACACCAAAGCTATGATGTCGACACTCGCCCTAATGAGCATCCCCGCCCTGGAGCCGCCATATCTCTGGCGGCCGCTGGCCGTCACTAAATAGGCACTTGGGTTGGTCTCGGATAGCCACGGCGATTACAATGCTCGTCCCCTTACAATTCCTTCCATTCCATTGGTTGTTGTCAACTTGAACACTGTCCTTGACGCTGCTATTGGCTTATAAATGGGGCCGAATCCCATCTGGACGACGAACAGCGCTCCAATTCCGCAGGAATGTTTGTGCGGAAGATGACAACCATCGGCCGCCGATCGAGGATGGAAACCCCGGTGCCTTTGCTGACCACGCATGCTCGGCTCGCAGAGTAATACGAGACGGGCCCAATAGCGGTTGGCTGTTGCTAACAAACTGCTCTGGTTACTCCGCTTCCTTCACGATGGTCACTTGTGCAATGGTCCGCGCTTCTACGGCTTTGTTGGAGGGTGAAGCAGTGTTGATGTCATGCCTTCTCGACACGACCTTCCCGGACAAGGCATGCTGACTTTCGGTCAATTCTTTGGGTCTGTCGGTGAGGTGAAACAGCTTCATGGAGGCGACACTGGTGTTCTCTAGTATTTTTGGTTGAACCGTGGCATCGGGTCAAAGGGGCAACACCAAGTGTGACCTGATCAGCAAGCCGTCGACCAAAATAAGCTTCACTAATGCCCAATATGGCTGGCTTTCGTGCTACCACTACTTGATTTGATTTTCGAGCCGTTCTGAGTGCTTCGTGGGTATCGCTTTCTACGATGCGAACGACTTTAGCTAGATAGCTTTCCACAACAGACCTTTGTAGGTTCTCTCCAGCTGCATTGATCAGGCCAGTCGACATCGAAAAGAAAATTGAACAATGGTCTAAAGTGTAGCCTTCAATATAGTAGAAATGTCCGCAGAATGCATGGTCCTAGCTCGTCATAGCTAGTCATAGCTAAAGCCCGTTCAATGTCTCCCAGGAGCCCATTGCCTTAACTCTATTCATGCTGATCTCCTCGCTTTCGCTTCAGTGCAGTCAGTGAAACCCGGTCATATCACCACTGCCATCGGAGTTGTCTCATCTTGACTAAGAGCATTACGCACTATAAGGGCAGGATGCGGGAGGATTCGCAGACGGCCCAAAGCGGGAAGTTGACAGAATCTTTGAACTTCGGAGACCCATCCTGAGAATCCCATTCGGCCGCAGTCTAATATGATGGCGCAATTCGAAGCCGCCCCGCAGTTCGGGACGATCCAAGCCAGCATGAACATTACTTGCACGAAAGTGCAGGGCTTGGCGGTGAGATTTCTCGTCTTGCCGAGTAGATCTTCGAGCAGGGCCATGTCTCTGTGATAATCTGTGCATATAGGTTTCAGCTTCACTGACCGGCCCCGCTTCCGGCGTATGCCTTAGAACAGCCTTACCGATTCTCCATCGATAGTTGGCTGTGTGGCTGCATTAGCGGGTGGTACAGGTAACAAAAAAGTAAATAAATATCACGCTATCGGATGTCTCACGACAAGGACATTCGGCCGTCTTTGCCGTCGACATTCCAAGATTCATCGGCGAGAACTATACCGGTAGATGGCTCAAGTGAGGAGCCGAGGAAGAATGCCAGCTTTGTCTACAAATTTTTTCGTATCGATATGTTACGAGACAACTTTTATCAATCTAGAACTGACTCGACTTGAGGATCAAGACTTCCATGCCACTCGAGAATCAGTATTCATCGATTGGTATTGTACTGGCTTTGAGAAGGCATATCCGTACCGATCATAGAATTTGAGAGAGAATCACAGAGCTAAGACACAGCTCGGACGTACAGTGAGGTCAAAATCAACTTGTTGCAGTAGTCTGAGCTGATCTCCTAGGTGGCGGCATATGTCCTTCTCAAAAAATGTCGCCGATTGGTCTCGTGAAAAGCCTAGACAATTTCTATACGAGACAAATTATCAATCTTTTCGAATTGGGTGAAGGTAAATTACGCTTGGCGTCAGGATATCGGTAGATCGAGTACGAGGGAACTGCTCAACCATCCTTCGGTTGCAGCGATCGAATTTTGTCTTAGACTAGCAAGACTTGTTGAGCGCTCAGTGTCCAATCCTTCTCTCGTGTCGAGATCTTCATTTCAACATTTTGTCCAGCTAAGCCGGTGCATCTCACATCACCCAAGATTTGAAGTCATAGGTATAAAAGGTGTGCCACTTCCCTAACTTTTAAGATTTTAGATAGCCATTAACATCGAGCAATTTCGACTCAGAACTAAACTCTGCTTTAAGGACAAGATCTACTTCAAAAGAAAACTTACTTTATAATGTCATCCGAACAAGAGCTGGCACTTGGTAAATTGCTCCACATAGTTCTCAAGATCACAGATCAAATACTAATCTTCGAAAAGGTGCGGTTGTCGACCTCGTTCAAAACGACGCAGGGCAATACAAAGCCGTCCAGAAGAGTCTTTCCGTTGGCCAGCCTCCAAGAGACGTGCAAGGGCGCCATTCAATTGACTGGAGTTTTGGGCCTGTCAAGGTATAGATTGTTCGTACATCAATACTGCATTATCTGACCTCCCATCCATAGGTCGAGGGCTACGTCGACACTGATTCACTGGAAATTGGCGTCCTTGTTTCCGTCGTTGGCATCAGTCTTGGAAATCTGTACGGTAACCTCAAAGATGGGGTGGGAGTAGACGTAGACCTGTTCGTTGCAAGTGGGTCTATCAAGTTCTACTTGAAAAACGGCAATGAGGTTTGGGTTCATCTAGATATCAAAATTAGATTCGACGGTAGCTTTGAAGGAGATTATAAGATAATCACTATCTAGATATGGTAAACTTTCTATACGATCTAGCTACATGACTGAATAGTCATTACCCTTTTCTTCTTATTGCATCCTGATCATGGGGCTGTTTTGGCTTGAACTTAGGGGTATCGGTAAGCATTGCTGGCTTCGACATCAAGGTCGGTTTTTGGGCCCGGTGTGATAGATCCTCAGTACCTGACTGGCTGCTCAATCTTCCAGTCAATTGTAGCAAAGCGATTGTCATGGGCTGCAAAAAGGAACACCACTCGTCCTGAGGATATTGCTTATTGTCTGCTTGGAATCTTTGAAATCAACATGCCACTTTTATATTGGGAAGGACCCAAAGCATTCGTTCGTTTAGAAGAGGAGATTGTGAAAGTCTCCAATGACCACACACTCTTTTGCTGGAGTTATACATCAGCAGTACCACAAAATTTGGCCAACAATGCTTGCTCCATCTGTGGACACATTCGCAGATTCAGGCAATTACATCGAGACTGGGCGTTTTTCTGGAGTTCCTGCATACTCAAATACCAATGCTGGCCTACGACTTCGGCTACCCATCATTGCGACATCGTCATATTGGCTAGGGTTGCTTGATGCTCAATTACAGAGGACAACCGTTAGAATATCAGTCTCATTAAGTGGCTCTAGCACTAATGGCGTTCTGCAGCGAATTCCCGTGCCTCCGCAGTCGGTTCACATCTCCACGGCTTGTGCAAAGGCCTTGAGGACCATCTACATTGCTCCTAGTCGGGGAACAAGCGAGACAACCACTAAGTCAAAAGAATCTCAGACCAACACTTCGTCGGCTGTCTCTTACGGTGTCCTGGTGACTTTTGACTACAATGATTTTGGGTCTTCGTCAGAAAGAAGCGGATACATCTCCCGTGACCATACGAAAAAAAAATCAATGTCATCCTCCAGGGGTCTTTAACAACCAGACGTCAATTCTGACAGTCGATTCTGAGAACAATGCAAACCCAATTGGGGCATGTTTTAGAATTTTTATGAGCGACAAAAGAAAAATCACCCTCTTTTTCGGCGTAAAGAAACAGGACATCCCATCAGACCCAATCCTTTGGTTTTGCGCAATTGTAAGAACCAAGGAGAAAAGTACAACACTAAAATTGGAACTCCAATTAAGACAGTGTCTGCAGAAGATTTCCAATCAAAGATATCATAACTTCGAGGACCACTCGGAAGGCCTAGATATTTCGGTGCTGCTCGGACGAGAATACCAAGAGTATCTCATGGGTGAATGTAGAGTCAGGCCAGCTCATATATTCTTCACACATCAGACTACCACATTCCAACCTGAGAGTCTCGCCTGAGATAGTGATTGAAATGATCCTATCATGTTTATCTCTGAGATATATCCACGGGTACTCGTCGTTGGGTTATAGCAGACGTATTCCTCAACGTTCCAGTTCGACTTTTTCACAAAGCTATAATATCTCGCGGAAGTAACTAAGTAGCTATCGGTCAGGCGTAGACCTAAGCCCATGGCCTTCCTACGCAACTTTTCTCCCCCGAGCCTTTGCAGTCTCTGGACTATCCGAGAAAGCCGGGGAATAGACTGGAATGCCAGTCAAA